GAAAGAAATAAAAAGAAAAGTGACTGTTGAAAAGTTGGGCAGTATGTTTTCTTATCTAAAATTGAATAAATGAAAACATGAAGTATGAACGGTATGTAAGTGTTAAAGTGAAAGGTGTATCTTATACATTATAATTTGCATATTGTTTTCTCTCTCTCATTAGCTGTGCCTGGGAATGTGCCTTCACAAGGATGTTGCAGAGGAGCATAAAAAGGCAAAAGTCCAAAGCTCTAAAATAGAACGGGACCTTCACAAACATGCCAGCATGGAGAATAATGTGGTCAAAATCCTTATGCTCGGTATTTATTCATATATGTATCAGTTATATATTTTTAGTTACGTTTTGGCAAATTAAAATTAAATTAATCCTTCGATTTGAATGTGTCAGGTGCTCCAGAGACTGGAAAGAGTACAATTGTCAAACAGATAAAGATAATCCATAATCATGGATTCTCCAAACAAGAGCTTATAAGTTTCAAGGTAAAATTAGTTATCTGTCCTGCCTAAAGGCCAAAACAACTTTGTAGGTGGCAGATAAATGACAAAATGTCTTTGACATGTTTCACTCAGCCTGCAGTACTGGACAATCTTCTGACCTCTATGAAGACTGTTCTGCAAGGCATGGGGACACTGAGGATAAACCTTGCTAACAAGCAGAATAAGGTGAGATTAAGAGGTCTTTGTAGTCCATTTTAATTGCAACTCCTCTTCCCTGCACTAGATGACAGTCTCTATCCATACACAACACAGCATCAGTACAGAGGACTCATCATTATAACCCAATCTTTAACAAAGAATGAAATGATGCAAATACCTTAATGTATAGTATCAAAGCACATAAAACAGTCTGAGTTCATGATGCAATTAGATGACCCTGTGAGCACAATCAAGATGGCAAGAATGGATTTTAAGGCCATGTATACATAGGTGTTCCACTGTTCACGTATAAATGCCAGATAAGCCTATTTAGTATTAAATCGAACAAGAACAAGGTAGAAGACTCTGGAGTCCAGGCGTTACAGATTGGAGGCAAAAGTTCGTATTTACTCTAATGCCAAAATAAATCTAGTGTCTTCTTTTTTTTTTTTCTTTTCTTTCTTTTTTTCCTTTTAACAATATTGTCCCTATCAGGATCATGCTCGCTCCATCCTGTCCTGCAGCCAGTGTTTGGGGGACGATCAGGAGCTCCTTCCTTTTATGGCTCATGCTTTCTGTGCACTTTGGTCCGACCAAGGAGTCCGAGCAGCTGCAGCCCGAGGATACGAGTTTGAGCTGAACGACTCTGCTCTCTAGTAAGTAGATTGACATTAAGTGACTTTATGTTGCACAACACGACCAATTATGATTGATGGTGGCAAATGTCATGGGAAATTGCCCAGTAAGAAGCATAGCGTCACATCTTGCCAATACAGAGCTACGGTAAAGAGAGCGCTGAGAATAACTTGTGCTCAGGAAATGATTTCTGTGACATTTGTGTAATAGGCTTAATTGGACCACATTTAAAAAAC